ACGATAAATTATGCAAAAGTTATAAGTTATCATTTATTATTGTTATTAAAAAAAAAGTATGTACAGGCTAGAATACTGCATCCCTCCGTACAGAAACCTGTGTGCATTCCTGGTGAAATAAAGTCCTTCACTGAAGCTTTTAAAGTAAAGAATCAAAATTATTCATGTTGAAAATATGGAATGCATGTGGTTGAGCATGTGAATTATTCATTTCTTTTCCATTGCCAAATAGCTTGTGAACAGAGCCTCCCTTCACTCGTATGGAGACTAAACGCCACATTAGCGTTGCGTTCAAGTAGCATCATTACAATCCCACTGGACAAATGTTATGAGCTTATATTAAATTATGTAACCACAACGATTGGGCTTCCATTGCATTCAACAGCTCCTTTCTGACACAGAAGCCGTCCTGCAGCTCAGTGTGACGAGATCAGCGGCACCAGGTTATGATCGGATTCACAGGGAAAGCATGAGAGAAAATAAAGATATAAATCTGAACTTCCTTAAAAACAATGACGTTTCCTCAGACATCCAGAGCTTTTTGTGGGCAGACGTTTAAAGAAATACAATGAAAGTGAATGTGAGTAACTTTAGATAAATGCCTCCAGCAAAATACAACAGGGAAGAGAATGAGAAAGAATCCAACGATTCCTGTTTCACTAATGATTCTTTGAGAACTTTTAATGAAATTATGAGACCGTTTCAATAATAAATAAGCTTCAAACAATTCTCGCAGAGCGTTTATAGATTGTATTTATGCCACCTCTAAACAATCTAATAACTGACCTTGTATGTTAAGCATCAGTGCCAAACATAACATTTCATTCATTAATATTTATAAAATGCTACTGACAAAATGCACAAGCAGTTATTACACTGATTCATATTTCACAGTTAGTTGTGTATGATCGAGTCACTGAAAAGAACCAGCTCATTAGAGTTGTTTGTTTTGTAATCAACATATACTGGTTGAGCTTTATGTGTTCAATTCATTTAAAAGAACCACATCTTGTCATTATTTCTGTAACTGAACTACACTGGTTGTACTCTATGTATTTGATTCACTTAAAAGAACCAAATCATTAGAGTCATTCGTTCTGTAATCGAGAAAAAAAAACTGGTCACGTTTTTGATTCACTAAAATTAACCAACTAATTAGAGTTGTTCATTTTGTGATCAAACTATATGCACTGTTATATCCGTTTGATTCACTTAAAAGAACCAAATCTTTAGAGTCATTAATTCTGTAACTGAACTACACTGGGCACACATTATGTGATTGATTCACTGAAAAGAACAACTCAATAGAGTCATTCGTTCTGTAATCGAAATAAACTGGTTGTGCTCAACGTGTTTGTTTCACTAAAAAGGACCGACTCATTAGATCCATTTGTTTGAGAATTGGTCTAAACTGGTCATGCTATATGTTTTCGATTCACTAAAGTCATTTAGAATAATTAATTCTGTAATCTAACTGCACTAGTTGCGCTCCATGAGTTTGATTCACTGTACAGATGATGCAGTAGAGAGTCATTCAAGCTGTTCGCTTGAGAATCAGACTGCACTGGTCACGCTAAATGTTTTTGATTCACTAAAAAGAACCAGCTCGTAAGAATCATTTGTTCTGTATTCGGTCACATGGTCTATTTACGAGAGCCGTATCTATAGCACTTTTGCCATCCTGTGTCACCCTTTGCCCCGAGCCGTACAATGTTGAATGGCGGCTGATCCTGCTCTGTGTTTTTCTGCCGGCTCCTGCATTCCTGCGTGTCAGGCCCAGAGAGAATAATGCCCGCGGGTCAAAGGTCACTTCCTGTGCATTAATAATCCAGCAATCTGACATCAACAAGAACGGACTGACCAAGGGGGAAAACAGGAGGATGAAATGTAAAATATTCAACACTTTCATCATTTTGGCTGGTATGAAGCCAAAGCTGAACAGCTTTTTGAGCAAGTATTTGTCAGGCGTGTGACTTTCTCTCGGAGCGGTCAGCCAGCTGGGTGATTCATCTGTAAAAGAGCGTTCGGAATCACTTCCAGAAACCACTGCATTGCATAATGCACAAAACAACGCCAAAATGATCATGAGTTTGTCAAGAAGGATGTTTGACGAGGAGCTTGCAAATGTCCAGCTTGTGGTCAGTAAGTGTTTTTTACAGCATGCAACCGTTTCCAAAACTGGAGACAAAACCAGAAAAAAACTCAAAAAGCAGTGCATTGGAAGATAAACAAACCAAGCAAATGTCAGTTACTGATTTGACAAAAATTAATGGGAATTCTTTCAAGATGCATTAAAAAACTCAAAAGCAACTGCAGTAAATTTACTAAGCAGCACACTTCCAAAAAACTGTGTTTGTGAAAAATGCGTGAAAGTGATGATCTGAAACTCCTTTATTCAAAAGCTCAGATGTTCTTCCGCTGAAGCACAAGATGTTTTTGGATCATCTCACATCACGCTGGAGAACATGATCATCAGGTCTCACACAAACTCATGGAGTTCATGCAAGACATTCATCTTCATTTTTCAATTCCATTTTTAACTCAAATTGTTATGCTGATAACATAATTTGTAATAAAAGCACTTGCATTCAATTAGAAAAAAGAAAAAGAAAAAAACAAACAAAAAGATTTTAGATGTAGCCAAACTGCTAAAGAAAATGTTGTTAAAAAATATTCCTCTGTCGAAATTGCGTTTACAAATTAAATGCTTCAAATCTTTTTTATAAATAAAGGTTTTTGATTGAAAGTTTAGTAAAGATTTCAAAAGGCTCGTTTTAAAACACCTGATCAGAATAAACAGGCTTCATGAAGACATATGGGAGTCATTAATTAAACAGCAGATGGATTTACTATAGCATGAAGATGTTTACTATGGATTACTTCAGTTGTTCTCCATTACGATCAGCATTTCTCTCTGGACTCAGTGTGATCTGATGAATAGAGTCAGAATATGTTCTGAACGTTCATAATGACATGAAAGTGCCAGCTGGCTTTAAACGACATGAAAAGCATGTGGGCATAGCATGAGTCCGGCAGATACACGCATGTCTGCAGTCAGAAGCGGAGCATGTGAGGCTGGATCGCTCTCAACAGATGTGAGGAACCGGCCGGGCCACACCATTGGCTCTTCAAACCCAATAACAAGACATCAAACACGACAAAAAGTGAAGCGAGTCCAGTGCATGCAGATCCAGTGCCTTGACAAAGAACTAAATGAGTCCGTGAGCTGTAATGGCTTGCACATGTTTAGATGGAGAGGTGTTGCTATTGCTCAGTCTCAGCGGATGAGAATGAGTCTGAAAACATTCAACACAAACCCTGCAATCAACAGATTCAGAGAAACAGAATGAAAACGGTATGTAGAATTCTGAAAAACTTTGAAGTGCGTGAACCAAAGAACAAGAACCAAACTTCTGTAAATGCTAAAAAAACAATGAAGCCTTCAGATTGAAGACATTCCTTATTTCATACTGTATGAATGACATTGATTTTCAGCGATGTCTGCCACCTCTGTTTTTCCTGTTCTTGTCCTGAGCCGCATTTGAAGCAGTCTAATTGGTTGCAGATGTTTGCGTAGAGAAAAAAAACAAACGGTTCAAATAGTTACAGCGTGAGCGGCTGCTTGATCTGCTGCACGTGATTGGCTCAAGGCAGCGTTTGGAGGAAACACAGCTTCATAACAGTGCTGTGAGAGGAGAACTAAATAAAATAAGTAAAGGTTCAAAGGGTTAAAAGCCAACTTTTGCACGCTCGCGTTATCTATCAGCTAAAGCAGCCGAATACCTTCTGTGTGTGTCAGACGTCTCACGTCAGTAATTCACTGAAGAATATCCCGAGCATATCCACAAACACTCACTCACACACACACACTCACACACACACACACACACACACACACACACACACACACACAC